ATGCAGGAGATTAATGTTATTGTACACTGAAAATAAAAACCATATCATGTATTTCAAAGCAAAATCAGCTCGCAGATAACAAAACACTTCTTTTCTTGGTATCTCTAAGAAAGAAAAGAGGAACATAAGGACACTTATAAATGAACTTGAACTTTATCGCCATACTGTATATAACCGGTACATGTACTGGTACGATGGAATTCTTACTCACAGAAAGTCTCTGAAAGCACAAAAACACAAAGTGCAGAAAGTGCACAAAATGAGAGGCGGTCTTTCAGGCCAGACTACCGTTGGGTCGTTGGTAGTTTATTGATCTCAGGATCTCATCCACCAGGGGATTGGCTTCAATAACTCCATGTCCTATTCCCCCAGGTCCTTTGAGTGAAGAAGCTCCTCCTGTTCTTGCGTTTAAATGCCCTTTCCTGTACTGTAGTTTCCACTGGTGTCCTCTGGGCTGGGGCTTCACTGTTCATTCTGAGGTCGATTCTGAAGCCTTGTGTCGGGTCCCCACGTAGTGCTCTTCACCGTTCAGACCTACAGAGTTCCCGTTCCCTCCGGCTGGTCAGTGCGGGACACTGCTTTAAGCCCCAGAACGTATCCGGGCTGTGCGGCCGACTGGTCCTTTTGGCTCTGGGTCCAGTGTTGATGGTGAAAAGGTCCCTGGTGTCTTTTCTAGAACCCTCTCTATGCGGCGGTTTCTGTTTTAAGACGCTGCACTCTTTCTAAAAAATAAGATCTGCTCATAGGAACTAACAGCGAATGTAAAGGAAGTTATTGGTATGTCTACGTTTTTCATGTCCGAGCTGCTGCTGCTGTGAAGTTCTATATCGGCTCTCCTGTGTGTGGCGTTCCGGTGAATTTACTTTTTTCAATGTTATGAATTTGAATGCCGTCATTATGAATGTAATTTGGGGTGGACGTATGCGGTGTTTGCTAGCAGGCCGTAAACGCTGACTGAAAGAATCCTTTGTGCGAGTCGTTAACGATGGATTCATGCTTTCTCCAGCCAGGGTCCCGCAGTTCCACCTAAGCAGGTGGACGCCAAGCAACACGACTCCCACACGTACAGATATAAAATGAACTACCCACACCTTGGCCAATGCATCATCATTAACAACAAGAACTTTGATAAAAAGACAGGTAACAACTGCATGGGGTTTGTGTTTTCTTTCTGCTGAGAAATTACAATTCAGCGTTGTTCATTTGAACGAGAGCAAACAAGAGGTTTGCTACGAAGGGTGATGCTACAAGTGGATGGTTTTATGGAGCACTGCAGATTTCTGTGCTGTTCAAATAGAGGCATGTTTATCGTGAGCTTGTCCAAACACTGTTTTTCTTCATTTTGAGCTGTATTACTAAGCTTTGTTTTCCAGCTGCATGGTGTTTTTAAGGTATTTATTTTGAAATAGAATAAAAGCTTTTGGATATTTGAATGGGAATATGAGTTAAACTCAAGGAAGTGAAGTTAAATTTCGTGCAGGGATCTTTGCAGGTTCCTTGGGTTTGGGTGCTTATTATATCTCGCCCATAGTATCCACTTCGCCGCTCCGGACTGATGAATAAATATATAACCAGACTCGGAATGTTTGCATGTGTTCTCAGGAAGATGACATTAGTTATTCGAGATTGTGTGCGGTGCACTTGAGTGACTTTTGTTTCATAAGAGAGGGAATCTTTTCCTGCTGTTTCTTGGAAGGACCCAGGATGTTGGCTTCAACGCCGCAGTTGGGACCCTTGTGCCAGACCCCCACAGTCCGTTGTGTTAAGAAGCTCTTCCTGTTCTCAGATTGAAATGGCCTGCTCCCTAGTTTCCACTTGCGTTCTCTGGCTCAGATTCGTTTCTGTGTCACTCTGATCAGTTGAAGGTAGATTCAGGTAGATTCCTTACAGTCTTATGCAGTTGGAAGTGTTATCATTCAGTACATTTCAATCTTGCGTGGTGTGGGATCCCTTTCTACATACAGTGAATGAATTTTTGTTAAGCTTGTTCTGACATGAATTGTAAATGTCTTGTCTCTTGATATTGGGTTGTGGTACGGGCCGACCCACTTGTATAGTGGAATCGCTGTAACAGCTTGCCTTGCTTTATTTCTTTACAGGAATGAATATCCGCAATGGAACGGACGTGGATGCTGGGAATATGATGAAGGTGTTTAAAATGCTGGGATACAGCGTCAGGGTTGTCAATGACCAGACTTGTGCACAGATGGAGACGTGCCTGCAGTCGAGTGAGTGCTGACCTCGCCGCTTCCCAGCGCAGTGCACGTAACAGCCACGGCTGTGCTCATCTTGCTTGCAGCTCTTTTTCTTCCTCTCTTCCCAGCAGCGTTCAGTCACTGAACTGCAAGCAGCCCCAGCTCTGTTTAGTCCCACGCAGTCGCTTTCGTTTCCGGACCGTGTTCAGGTTTAGTGCAGGTGCGCAGGTGAGCAGTCTGGGAGGAGAGAGGCAAGGTAACTGGGAGATCTCCCCCAGCCGAGCTTCTGTCTCGGAGCGCTGCTCTCGGCCGGGCGGGGTGGCGCGGGAAAACGGGGTTCAGAGCTTCTCCCACTGTGAAGCCCCCCGGGGGGGCCCGTTCTCAGGCTCGTGGTGGGATAGAAGCAGGGGTTAAAGGCCCGTGCGGCGGGCCGAGGGAGTTTCCCGGGCCGGGCCGGTGGGCGCGCTCTCACCCCGCCGTCTCTCCGCGGCTGCAGTCTCCAGGGAGGACCACAGCAAGGCGGCCTCCTTCGTGTGTGTGCTGCTGAGCCACGGTGACGAGGGCGTGCTGTTCGGGACGGACGGCTGCCTGGAGATCAAGAAGCTGGCGGGCTACTTCCGGGGGGACCGCTGCAGGACGCTGGTGGGCAAGCCCAAGCTGTTCTTCATCCAGGTACAGGGGGCCCGGCCCGGGGCCCGGCGGCTGCACCCGCAACACCGCCGAGTTTCGTTCTCTTCTTCTTCTTCCTACCTACCTACCTACCTAAGACGCGGCTCGTGTTGGATGAAGTCTGCGCTGAATCGAAGCGGGCTCGAGCCTTGCGCTCCGTTTCTTGACCGTGCTGCCTAATCTGTCCCTGTGGAAATGGTCCGGGGAGGGGGGGTAGACTCAGTATCTCTCTTCGTCTGTCCTGAGCGAGTTACGCTGCCCTGAACCGTTTCCTAACGGGAGGTGGACACGGGCAGCGGTTTTGAAAGCCCTCCAGCGAAATGATGTTTTAATCGGTTTGTTCTTACCGGGTAGGTAGAGAGTGTTTGTTGCACTCTCTCCACAGCATAGATCTCCACAAAGCTGCTACCTAAGCAAACCACAGAGACGCATGCTGATCACTTGAGGGGTTGATATTTAAGTTGCGTTCTTCACCCCTTTCTTCTGCAGAAGAGTCTGTAATAGGTAACGTTAAGTAGTTGTTTCTTTTTTCATTTAAAATTGCAAATTGCAGTTTCTGGGCTTGTATATTATTTCATAGTCGACATAGTCAATAGTTAAGTGCCAGACCTGGGGTGCCGTCTGCAGAGAGTTAGTGTGCTCTCCCCGTGTTCGCATGAGTTTCCTCGGGGTGCTCTGGTTTCCTCCCACAGTCCGAAAAACATTCTGGTAGGTTACTTGCTTATGGGAACATTGGCCCTGGTGTGAGAGTGTGCGTGTCTGTGTGTCTGTCCGCCCTGTGATTGACCAGTGTCCAGTGCAGGGAGTATCCAGACTTGCACGCCCTGTTTGCTGGTTTAGGCTCCGTCTGCCCTGTGGCCCTGTACTGGAAGAAGCAGTAGGAAAATGGATGAATGGGTGGATTATTTTGTTTATGCAAATTACAAGGGGAGTAAACACACAGACATGCACACTTTCACACCAGGACCAATGTTCCCCTAATGAATACCAGTCCACAGGCAAATGAATTCCATGGAAGTTATCTTTTATCAGAAAACCACTTATTCCTGTGGGAGTCACTATGTGGGACCCATACAGACCGCAGGGTGAGCGCCCCCTGCTGGGCCCACTAACACCACTTCCAGCAGCAGTTTTTAGCTTTTCCCAGGAGGTCTCCCACCAAGGATACTGACCAGGCTCACACCTGCTGAGCTTCAGTGGGCTGCCAGCTGGGAGTTGCAGGGTGACGTGGCTGCTGGCTACATGAATCAACAGGACTGCTGTGGAATACCTTGGCCTGCAGCACTGCAGAAGGAAATGGACGTACTTGTGCAGCCAGAGGCTGAAGATGAAGTGTAATGGTTGGTCTGTTCTGTGTTGTGTTGCTGTTGTCAGGCCTGCAGAGGTACCAGCCTGGATGGGGGCATTGAAACGGATGCCCTTGGTGATGATAACAGCTCAGAGAAGCTCCCCGTGGAGGCTGACTTCCTGTATGCGTACTCCACAGCCCCAGGTACACTTCCTGCTCTGATCACGGTCTCTTTTAGGCGCGGTGCAGACACGGCGCCGCTCCTCACACACCGGCAAACTCCTCTTGGCCAAAACACGGCCTCTCCCTCCACGGCAGAGATCCGCACTGTCGGGGCGTGAAGGGGGCTGTCTTGCTGTGAGCCCTGTTTCACAAGGGGGCAGTCGTTAATAATCACTTGTGACGGATCGCTTAAAGACACCTGTCGAGGTTTGGGATGGGCTGTACAGAATAGCATTTAACGAAGCACCGCTGAAGAGCCACTGCGGCTCCTAATCAAGAGTGCAGTGCTGTCGCTCTGCTGAAATGGGCCAAAGGGTCTCTGTCCTGCAGAACCTGTTTCTTAACCACATTAACAGGTTTGCGCTGCTGGTCAGTTTACATTC